AGAACTAAATCTGGAAACAGATCAGGAACCTGATCGGAACTAGTAACAGCATGAAAAGGAAACACTTCCTCATAAAACACCCATCGTGGGAAAGAAACACTTGTTTGGTTTCTCCATCATAGAACTTATAACCTTTCACATTGCGGATAACCAAGGAAAGCACAACTCGAGCACGTGTGGAACTTGGTTCGATGAGCAGCTAAGGTGGAAACAAATGCTAAACGCCAAAGACTCGAAAAACAGTGTAACTGGAGCTGTTTTGTATAGTAACTGAAAAGGTGTTGCTGTGTCTCAATAGTGGGGAAGGAGTTTCTGTTTGAGCCGCCGTAGAACACAATCTGTCAAAAAGAAACTGGAGTCCTGGATTGAAAAACAATGACGAGCCACATTCAATAAGGCTGTGTTTGCACTCTACAACTGAGTTTTTGTTGAGGCATTTCAACACATGAAAACTGATGCAAAACACCCTGATCTTGAAAAAACTCAGCAAAAGATAACTCAGGTGCATTATCGATCGAAACACCTTGATTTTGGCATTAAACTGAGTTGAAACATGTTGAAAAACTTTGGTATCACAGAGACATCATCAGACTTATTCTTCAACAAATACACCCAAGTGAACCGAGTGCAATCATCAACAAGAGTCAGAAAAACCGATGACCATATAAGAAACAGTTGGATATCCTCCAAATATCACAGTGCACAAGATCAAAAGGAAATTTGGACAAATGATTATTTGATTCAAAAGGTAGCCTTCTTTGCTTAGCAAGGGCAAATATAACAAGGATCCACCTTATGTAATCTAGTTACATCACATTTCAACTGATCTTTCAAAGAATCAAGTCTCTTAAAAAAATATGTCCTACTGTTATGCCAAATGTGAGCAGAAACATTATTGACAAAGCATTGGAATTAGAATTCAAAACACGAACATTAAGAATATAGAGATCTTGAACTTTGTCACCCCTGCAATCATCTCTCTTGGTGGATAGATCCTGGATAACAAAGCAGTCGGGGAGAAAACTCACTGTAAGGGCAGATCCAGTTACTAAAGCACTGACTGAGATCAAGTTGAATTTGAATTGAGGAACAAACAGTACATCCTTAGCACAAGATCAGAATGCAATTAACATCACCAGCAAAATGAACCAATCTGAGAATGATTTGGCAAAGTAATTGTCGTATGATGAATAGAATGCAGGGAAAACACCAGCTTGTGAACAAATATGTCGAGTAGCGCTAAGTCTACAATCTAAATTGATTGGAGGAAAATAAAGGACTCAGAAGACAGAGAAGCAAATACCTGCTAGACAGTTGGTTGAGCAGGATCAGGAGCATTGGTGACCTTTGCTGAGCTACTCAAATGTGTAGAAACATGGACATAGCTGCTGATATTGATCAGAGTTCAGATTCTTACAAACCTCTAAAAGAATTAGAGGTTCTGATTTATTATCAGTAGTAGAGACTTCATGAGCAGCTGCATTATAATTGTTGTTAGATCTGAATTTATAGCCAGGGGATTCCATGTATCTTGTAGCAACGATCCACAGTATGTCCAAGAATCTTGCAATGTGTGCAATAAGGCCTATCTCTTTTTCTGATTCTTAGGACAGTGAAATGAAATTCTGAGAATTTTGAGAACTAGGACCACCAACTTACTACATCTGTTTTAACAGCAAATGCCATTGTGCCAGTAGAATTGCTCGAATCAGAGGAAGGATTGGTTCTCCTTTGCTGTTCCTCTTGACAATAAGAGAGAAAACACGATTAAGGAGAGCATCGGATCCATGAGAGCAACTGACCACGAACTTGAGAGAAAGAACATCAAGTCCCATTAAGAAAGACATTATGTACTCCGTTTGATGATGATTGTTAAGATTTTTAACTCCATCACATGCACTTTCCACAAGAACATTGGGCCGGTAATTACTCAGTTCTTCCCATATAGTTTTCAGCTTTGTGAAGTAAACGCTAACAGAACTCTGTTCTTGACGCAGATTCATTAATTCACGTTTAAGCTGAAAAATTCTAGGTCCATTCCTCTGTTGAAAACGATCCTTAAGATCTAGCCAAATCTCTCGGGCAGAAGAAGCAAAAATAATACTGGCAGAAATTTCCTTTGAAACCGAATTTAAGATCCAAGTATAACATATTGTTATTGCGAGTCCAAGAATTAAGTAGATTATTGTCAGTACCTTTAGGTTCAGAAATAGAGCCATCAACAAATCCCACTTTGTTCTTCACATAGGCAATCAACATCACACGACTCAACTGTGTGAATTCTCATCAGTGACTGTGCAAGACAGCACTTGCCCAGGGCTGTCAGAATGATGAAGATAGTAAGGAGGAAGGTTCATCAATGGCAGAATGATTCGAAGTTATACCTCTTCAGAATTGGAATCTCAGCATTCGAGGACAGAGTAGCCTATTGACGAAGGCAAGAACAATCAGCGTAAAAAGGAAAAAAAAACGAGCAATTTGCAGCGGATCAAATATGCTCTGATACCATATTAAGCTTCGTGAAGAAGAAGAAGATGACTGAGAGAAGAGAGAGAGAATGAAATAAACTGCTTTCTTATTATTATCAACCTAAATAGAAGCAGACAAGCAGACTATATATAGTCACTATTACAATGGATTAGTATAAACATAAATGTAATTAGTGAAGCTAACTAACTAACTAATCTGTAACTAATCTGAAGATTAACAACTAATCAGTATTTACAATATACACACCCTAATAGATCCCAATATTTAATTAAACTTAGACCTCAATAAAATAGTAAATATCCTTGATCGTTAGACCAACCACTTGGGTTACTATGATTACACAAAATCATATTAGTACATTAAATTACAAAATTGTATGTGTTTGAAGTGAGAATCCTAAGCATACGCCCAAAATTATTATTATTATGTAATAATTAAATTTTGTTAAAAAAATTTTTAACTTTTTTTTTTTTTTTTTTTTTTTTTTTTTTTTTTTTTAAGTTAACGAAATGTACAAGTGAAAGGTTGAAAGATGAAATAGTATTTACTTTTTCCAACCATAAAGGAATAGGGAATCCATAAGCCCTCTACAAGCTTTATTACAAACCTTTCCCCATTTCAAATTGCATTATTATAGCTTTAAGTACTACTAATTAAGCATGATTGTTGGCTTTAAACTCACCATTTTAGAACTAGTACGGTAGTACCCGACCACAATCCAAAGGCCTGTTTTATTTAAAATTGGGTGGGTGTTTGCTTTTGTTTTTACCGACTTGGTGTTTTTTATTTATTTATTTATTATTTTAATTCATGCTTCTAGTTTCTCTTGAATCATATTCGCGCCTTTGAAATTCTCAACTAAAATCTGGAATTATCAATAGAGGAATACGCATCTGCAGTGATCGACCATAACAAACACCAGAAGCCGACGCCAGTGTGGCTGCAATTCCCCAATGCGAATTAGTTTATGCTCATAAATGTATTAGTTAACCTAGTTTGCATGAAATTTTTGTCTATACCTTGAAGACAAAAAAACTTACCGGGAAAGAAATTTACTTTTGAGTTAAAATGGTTGATGATGATAATGGCGATATATACAGTGATAGATTTGGAATGTATCCAAGACTCCAATATGTTTTCACACTTCCCCATGTTTTTTCTTAAATCTTTTAGAGATACTTTGGACTTGATCGTCTTCTTCTATGGAAAAAGAAAAACTCAAGGACAGAAAAGCTGATGATGACATGCAATATCTGCCAATTCTAAGTTTGCCTGTAGCACAAAAAGCACTTCTGCTCACACTTGAACCCGTCATTCTTGGAATCACAAGATTATGCTTTATCATAAAATCATCACTATTTTAACCTTTTACTTTTAAACCTTTGCATAAACGTGCTCTGGAAAAAGCCTAAAGATGGGCGTGGGCAGGGTCGGGGCTGGGGACCATATGCCCCGTCCCCATTAGCCCCTCCCATGACCATCCCCGGCGTGTCTTCGCGGGCTGAGATTTTTCTATTGATCATCCCCGGCCCATAGAGATAAAATCTCCCCCACCCCCATCCCAGCCCGGCCCGATGAACAGGGCTTCACAAGGTTTTTTGTCTCATATCAATCAAAACTTTCAGTAACAATAATATTTAATTATTTTAATTATGAAAAACTAGCACGTTGATTAATAATATTCAATCTTAACATAATTTATTAAGTAAATTGTTGAATTATTCAATTATATAGAGGTTTAGTTTAGTTAGCCATGTTAATTAATTAATTTTTTATAAAATTAACATAACTAAATTCATCTTAACATAATTTATTAGGTAAATTGATGAATTAATTCATAAAACACTATCTCCATTACAACTAATAAAATTAGTCCATTTGTGATAGGGACAAATCTCATTATTTGATTAAGTTCAACATCATATTTAATTGATCGATTAATTAATTACAAGGATAATTTAATTTGTGTAATTTATAAGTCGTTAAACAATTGTATATATTCTTATATTGGTTTGTAAATTGTAATAATCTAATTAAATTTATTTTTGGGTCATATCCCATGTATTATTATTTTATGAAATTCACAAAGTAATAATACATATATTTAATTATTAGACTCCTTCATTTAAATTATTTTTCTATAAATTTAATACAAACATTAGAAAATATTATAAAAATAAATATCATAAATTTAGATATATTACTTAAAATTATGATTTAAATTCTAACTTTATATACAAGGGAACAAAAAAAAAAAAAAAAACATAAAATTCTCAAAGAAGCTGAGCTCCACCGGGCCGGGGCGATTCGGGGATTGCACTATCCCCTTCCCTGACCCGTCCCCCCGATGCGGGGATTTTACTAAGGACCATCCTCGGCCCTGTCTCCGTTTTTTTGGGGATTCCCTGACCCATTTGGGCTGGGCTGGGACAGATCCCCGCGAGGCTGGACAAACGCCCATCTCTTAAAAAGCCGGACTTATTTACAACGGTGGGGCTGTGGCTCTTCTGGAAATAGAAACTCCCTTTTTTGTATCTGAATATAACATCCTACATATTAACGTAGAATGGAAATAGTAACAGGGAATATATAGAAATCTAAGCCTATATGGCCCAAAATTCATGATTAAAGTCGTGGAAATTAACATTGAAAGCCTATGTGTAAAGACATGTTGAGCTTACAACAACCCGAAATATAACATATTTTACACAATGTATATGTATATTTACTAATTTTATATTATATCATATCATAGAATGACCATTTCAAAGTAGTAGCACTCCCAGGAATTGCATTTCGTGGTTATTGAAATTTATCAACTTGTTGAAATAAATGCCACTGATTTCAAGATACTTATCAAAACCACAAAACCCTTCTCCAAAACCTTCAATTCTTCACTTCCAGAGTCAATTCTTCACTTTTCTTTCTTAGGTCGCACGATCTTAGCGGGCTTGTTCAGTTTGTCCTTCAGAGTCTCAGCCAACACTTTAGCGTCCATTGTTGATGTTCCTTCAACAATCACCAGCTCTTTCTCTTCGTCCACTGTCATACTCCGCACTCCTGTAATTAAGCAAGCAACATTAAATTATATACATGGCCAATATAATACGGAGACATTGAAAACGACGCCGTAACAGTAACGGTACTGAACATGAGTAGCAATGATCATTCACTCAAACTCACCTTCGGTTTTTAGCAGAGTCTTCTGAATCTTCTCCGTGCAACCGTCGCAGAGATGGGCCAGCTTCAAAACCGCCGTCGTCACCGGAGGCTGTAGTTATTTGGTGTTAATAATATAAGAGTGATTATCCTCTTTGTTAATCACTTAATTCATAATGAAGAATGTTTAGAAGTCATTTATCACAGGAAAGAAAGAAGAAAAAAGAAAAAAAAAAGTAAACTTGAAATCATCAACAAAGGTTTAATATAATATAAATAATTAAACATAAACTAATACCCACTGGATTCGAATTAATTATATATAAACTCCTGAAAATTCCAGTTTAATTGGAAGGCTCAAACTCAACTTTCTCTTCAAGCTGCGACAGAATCTGCAACTTAATTAAAATTACATATTCGGATCTGCAACTTAAATCTCAATTTTTTCCCTAATATAGTTGTTGGATCATTTTATAGAATTATGTTTCTCATTACTAAGCAAACTAATTATTAAGTATATGCAAATGCTCACATCCATACCTCCTTTAATTGAAGCTCATGCTCATTTGTGCGTTTTAAATAACCAAGAATGTTTTTATCCTTTATGAAAGTGAAAACAGCAGCAATAATAGCAAAGACTAGTAGCAAAACAGGTGCTGTATAATTCTTGTTGATCTTGATGCCCAAAACTGGCAGAAATGTACCAATCAACAGAACCACTGAGAAGCCAATCTCCAACGCCCCAAGCTGCTTCTCAGCATCTCCTCTGATTCTTTCCGGCATACAAGTTAAAATTGTCATCACAAAACCAGAGAATGATAAGAGAAATGCAGCAAGATGGATAATAAAGGGGCTTTGCCCAGCCACATCCAAAACCAATGATATTGTTTTCAACATCACCAAAAACACCGCAAGTGCACGCCGTTTATCTTCACGAAGTAGCTTATATCCCTACAACAATAATTTTGAGAGACTCAAAATTATCTAATAAATTCAAAACCATAGAAAGAAAAAGACATTCTTAAACAAAGGAGAAAAACAGAGGAACAAATAAAGACAAAGCTAATAATCTCCACAATCCTTCCCATCAAGTATGGAGGATAAATACAGCCCTTAATTTCACAAAAAAAGTTTGCTTATAACTCACCCGGAAGACCAAAGAGCTGATGGATGAAAAGTAATCATCGGTGGAGAAGCAGCTACCACATCTATTTGCTTCAGTGTTGTTCATGCTTAATTCTGATCTCTGAGGCTCTGACACACACTGTCAATTCTTAAAAAAAAAAAAAAAACCGTCAATTCTCTCTACTCTGTTACAATAAAAGTATAACCCGGTGGGAGCGGAACGAAAATAATGAAGGAGAGTTCAAGAAAGCACACCGTCAATTGATCTCTCCGTACTTTTTTTACAAGACAAGGTAGAAAGTAGAAAAGGGTGGGAGTGGGAGTGGGAGTGAGAATGAATAGAGTAGTTGACAATGTCAATTTGCACACGCAACATTACATAATATAATATAGGTCGAACGAGTTGTGTATACCCAAGGTTTGCCATAAACGTGATACTTAAAAAGTTTTGAAACGACAAATAGATACTTTCCGTCATGTTCTGTTAGTGATTCCTATTTATTAATAGTAAAAAGACTAAAATACCCTTAAAAGTTTGAATTTTAGTTTTTTATAAATTTAAAAATTTCTAAAAAACCCCCTAGGTTTACAAATTTAACTAAATACTCTAATATATAATTTTTTTATAAAATAACAAAAACACCCTCGCCACCCACAGTGCCAGATTCCGGCCACCACCGTCGAAATCTGGCCGAAAAGTTGCGTTACGACACAGACCGGTCAGATCTTTCACATTATTTCACCCTCGTCATCAGCTTCAAATCTTTACTTCTTTTGGTAATTAATCAAACCCCAGTTGCAACTTCCCAAGTTCAAGAAATGACGTATGTGATACATTTCTAAGAAAGCAACGATAGAGCTTCGCGTTCGCAATTACAAACTTTTTAATCAAATAGAATTTAAGATAGGTCTGACTCTTTAGTTAATAAAACTTTGTTATCCTTTCTTATAAATCAATAGATTTGAACGTGCCTAATCGGTGTGAGATTTCAACATTCACTCTTACGGTCAAAGCTCATATTTTGGGTTATGTTTGTTCCTCTCTTACAAACCAATAAGCTTGAGCGTGCCTAATCAGTCAAGTACTCAACTTAACTTGGCCTAACTTTAATACCATAATAGAATTTAAGGTGACTTTGATTCTACACCCAATAAAACCTTGTTGAATAGGAGGATTATTCTCTCTTATAAACCAGTAGGTTTGAACGTGCCAATCGATGTAGGACTCCAACAAAACAATAGAAGCTTAAGTAATTAATTTAATCATCATTAAAATGACTTCTTACAAAAACCCTAAAGATATTGTAATCAACTACCAAAACAGTAAATTTGGATATTAATTAGAGCCCTTAACATTGAACATAACATAAACCTACACTCTTAATATGAATGTGGGTGTACGTATAGATTAACAGGAGCTCTTCTCAGTTATGTTGTTGCATGTTAGTATTGTGTAGAATTAACTATACACAGCTAAATAGGTTAAGAGTAATAATTTAATAATTTATCAAATTAATGCGGTTTAAACACCGCCCGAAAACAGTTTTGCATTGACGAATCTAAAAGCCCAAGTTAACATAAATATAAACATTTTTTGGCATGGAGCTGGCTAGTATAAGTTATCAACAACAAGAAGCTTCAAAACCTGATTGGACTGATTCCTAGGGAAGTTTGTGTGGGCTGGAGACAACAGTTTTTCTTCTTCATTTCCATGGGCTCCTCTTGGACTGTGCATAATTCTTTTGGGCCATATGGCCTTATATACATAGGTTGCTTTTGTTTTGCAAAGCCCTGTTTTTTTTATTGGGCCTTTTATATAGAGGATTGTACATCATTTTGGTCCTTGGCCTCTTTTGATTAGCTTTTCCTAGGGTATATCCAAGGTTTAGCTTAAAAGAGAGTTTCCTCTCCAAGTAACACTAGCCTTACAAAGAGACATATAAAGAGTTATATAAAGAGTTAAATCCAACCCTTAAAAGAAGGGAAAAAGAAAGAGAGAAAGAGAAAATCATGAATTTATATCTGAAACAATATATATATATATATATATATATATATATATGCGCTAAAAAACATAAGATGATCAAGCACCGCAAACCAAAGTATTCATTGGGCCTCTAAAATTTGGTAGGAGCCCAATAAACACTTGCCCAAACCAAAAAAAAGCCTTACAGAAATTCACAGAAGGGGGAGATAGGATCCACACTCCAAGAGAGTGCAAAGAAATTCTTGATTCTATTTTGCGTTTCCAAATTGAATTAATTTAATCAATTACGAATGACCATTTCCAACTTTTGTGTCTCAGTCATAGCTTGTGGTTTAGGGAATTTTTTATTATTGAAAAGATAGAATTACCACTGAGATAGATTATCTTGAAGATTGATAGGGGAATGTTGTATCAATATATTTGGTTAAATTGATGAGCATAAATAATTAAGATGCGTGTTTCGGAGGAATAAAATATTATCAGAGGGTTTTTTTTACACAATTGCCCTTCCTTTTTAATATTATTATTATTATTTAGAGCATAACTTTTAACCCCTTATATTTGAGAATTTAGGTAAAAGAATCCACAACAAAAGTTTAAAATTTAATAAAATATAACTAGCCTCCCAAGACAACTGTCGGCCGTTGTTGGCAGTCACCAAACTGGTGCATGACTAATTAGATATGGCTGGTCGTGCATCGATCTGGTTGGAAACAGTCAGATCGAAGGTCGTAAATGGTTAAATGGTTGTGGATCTGACCGTTTGGCCAGATCCATTTTGGCCATTAACGGCTAGATCTGTGGCTATTAATGGCCAAAATGGATCTGACAAAAAATGGCCAGATTTATTCTGGCCGTTAACGGTCATATCTGTGACAGTTTACAACAATGGATCTGGCCAGACTAGTGAAGAACAAAAGAAAACACCCTAAAACCAAAAATTTCGGCAAACGAAGGGATGAAACGGTCGGGATTCTCGGGAACAAAGGGCTATGGAGTGGGTGATTGGGAAGGTGATGGTGGCGACAAGGCAAATCAACACCGTTGCAATTAGCCCAGATCTAGGTTGAATCGAGTGGTTGGGCAGACATGTGGAGTCGCCGAAAAAGGCCCAAAATGGTCACACCACTTGTTTGTGGTTGTTTCGTGATTGCTTTTTGATTTGTTGGATTTTGATGATTGTTTGCGTGTCGTTTGCGGAACTGTGTTGGCGGGCACCCATTTTGAGAGTATAAGTAACAAAATGATTGAACTTGGAATATAATCTTTGCCTTGCATTGTACCATTTTGGTACTTATATTTCAACTTCAACATGATAGAATTACCATTCCAGACAAGCTACGGCTCAATTATCAATAGCTAATTAGCTTTAATCACGGTTAATACCAAAACAAACTGATTATTAAAATAATGAGAAGAAAACAATAGTAAATCTCATGTCATTAGCTACGTTTTTAGAGTGCCTCATATACGTCACTGCTCACAATAAGGACTAAAACAACTATGAAACAAAATAATATCATGCCCTTGAAATTACTTAATTATAATTATAGCATAATAGGAAGGGCAAGGGCAGTTGTCCAAAAGAGTCAAATAGATAAATATACAGGTTAAGGAATGAAGATAATACATAGCGTGGGCTGATGAAAAATAGAGAAATAATAATAAATTTAATGTTTCGTGGAGTTGGATCTGATGTGAAGAGGAGAACGGGAACTATTGTTATGATGAGATTAAGTAAAACAGAGGACAATGATTAATCCCAACCGTTTGATCTAGTACCACTGTATCAGCAAGTTGTTTAAAAGTCCACTGATCTAACCATTTAGATTAGGCAGTTTGAAAGTAAACCAGGTGGTCCTCACAGAGTCATACAAGGAATCAAGTTACTGTTCACCCAACGGCCATTATTGAATAATCTTCTACTCAGAAAATTAATTTAATTTTAACAAATTTAAACTAAAATTAAATACACGTGCCTTACGATGAAAGTGATAGCATATATAAATATGTAAAAATGTTTCTGAATTTAATTTTATCATAATTAAATCAAAATTAAGCACACTTACCTCTGTATCTGATAACACAACTTGTACAACATAATAAAAATATAATCTCCATTGTGTTTATAATCAGAAAAAACAATCCAAGACATGATGAAGGTATATTTTAATTATAATTCTTAATTAAAATAGATTTAAAATAAAATAACTAAGCTGACTCAAAGTTAAATCTTATTTGTTAATCTTTGGTGAAAAAAGTTTTGAGCGAAAAGAATCTCATAAACAGGAGAGCACAATTGAATAATTGGTGGTTATAATCTTTTTAGTTATAGTCCTTTTTGTAAAGTCAAATTACTACCAACATAAATCTTTGTGGTAACTCTCTTTCTTAAGCACATGGATGCATGGACCTGACCCGATTGCATGGTTGTCCCTATTGGTATCTAGGAGTATTTGAGTTAATTTGTGTGCATCTTGACTATTCTCTCAGAGTCTTGAAGTTAATAATCAAGTAAGTCTCTAATGGTTATCTCTTATTAGTTCGTGTGGATTCGAATTCATGACGTCTTGAGTAACACACTTAAAAGTCTCAAACGAACCGTCAAACTACCTAAATGTAGTTAAAGGATAAAGTAAGTCTCCAATAGTTACCTCTTATTAGTTTTTTTAATGTTTTTTCAACCGAAATAAATATATCTAAAAAAAGGATGATCTCTATATATATCTTTCAGCTAGATTCTGGATATAATAAAATAATTAATATATGTATGTAAAACCCATAATCTTATCGCTGACGCACGAGGTGCCACCAAGTGTCAGGGTTAAAGGGGTTTTGTAGATTTGGAGGCCGGTTGTTTAGGTTGTGGTGTTGAATTGAATTTTTTATGTCGGAATCATTCGAAATTTAGCCGAAAAATCAATCCAATCGCAGAGGTGTTCGCAAGTCATAACTGACGAACGGGGGGCTACCAAGTTTCGGGGTTAGAGGGGTTTTGTAGAGTGAAGGACAGTGGTACATGTGGTGGTGTCATATTGAATTTTGACTGTTGGAATCAGCCAGAATTTGGCTAGAAAAGTCAAAACCCAAACAAATCACAGGTGTGTATTTGCTAGATTTTAAACCTTCAAGAACTAATACGTATTTTTTAGGAGTGTTTTTGTATGATTTCAAACTTTTTGAACCATCGAAAACCGTCGGTTTAACTAGTCAAACGGTGAATCAAGGCCTTGACCGAGTCAAGGCCAGGTCCAGTTTTCGAAACATTGAGATTTACTTGTTTTATT